CCGCCGCTCGCTTCCGTCACCGGCGCTGGCGACGAGAATGAAGATGAAGATGACGAGTACGAGAACTCGCACGGCGGCTACGCGCCCGTTGACGCCCGATTGGTGTCGCTGGAGAGGATGAGGAGGAGTTCGACGAGAGCGCGCTCCCCACGCCCGTCCCGCGCATATAGCGCTTCCCCTCCCTGCAGCGCCCCGCCGACGCGCCTCCTCCGCGTTCCCGCGCACGCCGCCCGCGCTGGGTATCGAGATTCCGGGTGCGCGCAGCCCCGCGCCGGTGTACGAGGTGGAGTTCCCGCTGACGCCTACGCCGCACTCGCCCGCCGCGTCCACCTACTCGCTCGAGGGCGAGCACGTCGGCGGGAAGCGCAAGCGATAGCTCCGCGCCTCCTTCCCCTCCTGCACCAGTGGGGGGTAACGACCTTTTACGAGCGCGTAGCAGTTTTGGGGGAAAGTGGAATCGGGAAGTGGAAAAATGGAAGTGGGATCCGGGAATCAAAACCGGAATCGTCTGTCATCTGTTCAATGTTATATTATCTCTCTTTAGCTCTATTCTCTATAGTCTTACCGCCAATGTATCTCTCTATCTCTATCAATCGACTTTCGCGAAATGGATACTTTTTTTTTTTGTATGCGTGGGAGTGTAGGAAGAGAAGGAGGAGGAGGGAAAGCAGGAAAAAATGCGATCGATAATCTTGTACTTAGAGCCCGGGCCCGAGTCGAACGGGGGACCCCACAGAATATATATTCTATCTTGGTCCAAGTCTACAGGCAGTGGGTGCGGATCGTCCGCTACCGGGCACCCCAGGGAGCACCGGCGCGGTCACGTGAGGGCCTCTTAGGGGGGGTTATGTTGTAGGAGCATAACCCCCCTAAGAGGCCCTGTAGGCGTCGGAGGGCGTAGGTCTATTAATAATAGTTATGTCATCTGCTGATAAATGTCCCTCGCGTGAGCTCTCGGGATCTTCCTTCGGTTTCCCACCACCCTAGCTGCCGGTGGTGCATCAGGGCAGCAACCTCCGTCGCAGGCCTCCTCTGCCTACATCACGGGCTCTTCCAGCCTCCAATCAGGCTCCTTCTTGGGCGCCATATACTATGTGTTTTCTTGATATTGCTTTCAATGCCTGTTCCTTGCTTGGTTTGTAGGTAATGTTGAAATTCTGGATGCATCGGAGGCCTTCAACTTCCCAGTTTGAAATTTGTGTATTATAAAGCTGATTCCAGTGACTGCAGCTATTTACAATGACATTGGAAGGGGTTCTACACATGGGAATCTCCTCTGAGGTTTTTTGCTGCTCAGGAGCCTTCCCGATGCATCGGAGGCCTCCGACATGGCAAGTTAGATGCTGCATAGAATTATTTTCAGTGAATTCAGCTATTGGCAAAGGACTTGGAAGTATTCGCACCCAGGTGAATTCATCCGGTGAGATAGTTGAACTGCTTGGGAGGCTTCACAGCATGCTGGAGGCTGTGTCGGAGGCCTCCACCATCCCCAGTTTGATATTGGTACCTAATTGAAGTGACTTTAGATATTGAGAAGCAACTTGGAAGTATTCTCACACAAGTGAATTCATCCAGTGAGATAGTTGAACTGCTTGGGAGGCTTCCCAGCATGTCGGAGGCTGTGTCGGAGGCCTCCATCATTCCCAGTTTGATATTACTGCACCATACACCTAATTCCAGTGAATGTAGCTATTCACATAGACCATCAGAAGGGGTCCCGCATGTTGGAATCTGTTTTGTTGGAAGCTTCAACTCTTCGGGAAGTCTCCCGATGAGTTGGAGGCCTCCAACCTGCTTCCAGTTTGATATTGGTGCACCGTAAAACCCATTGCTGTAGATATACTTGTTCCACATGAATATTGAAGGTATTGTACTATCACCACAAATATAGGGATCTGTCTTTGGACCATGATTTGACCTGAATTCAATCAATAGCAAACCTCCTACCTACAGTTGAATCTGCTGAATATGGGATCAAAGCACAGAGGTTTATGTCCCACAGGTTTATAGCCATAATCAGTAGCTTGTGCATTCTAGAAACATTGATAATGTGTAAGGCTGTGGAGACCTCAAGCTTTCTTCTACTCTCGGAATATTTTTATTCAGGGTTCACTTGTTGTGTTTCAAATGCCGATGACAGTTATTAATTAATGATTTCATCCTACGAAGATAGATGCTTGAGATATATATCAGAGATGTGCACCAGCAAGATACTGGAGGTGGTGGAGATGGCGAAGACCATCAGAGGAGGTGTTGAAGGTCGTGTCGAAGGCCACTGGAGGCCTCCCACACCTACCAAAAAATGACAATGGCTTCCGATATGGGTATTTATTCTTACTTGAGGTTCACATATTGTATCATATTCTCTAGTTCCAGGTTGAACACTAGAAAAACTGAATAGTTTAAGGAACGACAACACCTCCAGCACCTCCAATGCCGCCTCCGACGCCTCCCTCCCCTGCGTAATCCAAGAATTTCAGTGGTATAGGTGGTAGATAATGTGCACCTGCCACTGCACATAGTGCCTATCCATTGCTTACTCTCTCAACTGGTGGAACTCAGCATAAATGTGCTAGGTATTCATTCACCTTGCCCAGCTCAACTAGGAAATCTTCCATTATTGTTTCAGAAAACAGCCGACATGGACTGGGAAAGACTCACTGAGGGGTAGCAGAGCACTTATGAACACTGCTTTGATTTGCAAAAGGGTGGTTGGCAACCATAAGGTGTTTGGTACAACGGCCCATGAAAGATCTGGTAGTCAAGGGTCAAGTCCTAATTAGGACTTGTATGGGTTCGACACATTTTCGAGCACCGGATTTCAAACTGCAGGCAAAAATCTAATTTAAACTAGATCATCTCCGGGCAGTATCCAGGACCCATGTCCGCATTGTTCCAGAGGGGGGAGATGCAGCCATGCATCCATAATAAAAAAATTGCACTGAGCTCATAGTTATTCGCGCTCTGATTGGCTGCCAAATGACGCACCGATTACGTGTAAGGCTCGGGCCGATGGCGGCGAAGGTGTGCCAAATATTTGGTCCAGTCTTACACTCTCTTTTCACGTCCACCCTCTCCTCCTACCTCCGTCCCTTTCCTGCCGTCTGGTGAGCCATTATGCTCAGCAGGTTGCTGCCCAGCTGATAATGTGATTAGGCCTGTTTACTTTCTGATTCGGCAAGGCAGGGCAGTGGGGTCCCGCCTTCGTGCTTTTTTTGTGTCTCAACATCCCGCTTGCTCGACCTCCCTGGTAAGTAAACATATCCCTTCCTTCATGTTTTTTTTTTTCACTGATGCATGTCTCTTTACAAGCTCCCGCTTTCATAAAGTTTCAGTGAGCAAGATTAATGTATCCGTCTATTTCTTTCCTGACAATCTCCTGTAGCGTCGAATGATGTATAAGGCTGCTAGGACGCCTTCCTCTATTCCTGCTGCCGACCTGTCCTTCCTTTTCATCCCCAATGCGGCGACGTGTCTGCAATGCAGCGGGGTTTGCCTCCCCGACCTCCTCACCTCCTTTTGGTCTTCAACGCACAACGAGCTCAGCAGGTGGTGCGGGATGGGTGGCAGCATGTAGGAGGCTACACTAAGGTTCGCACAAGTCGTCTAAGCAGCGCTCGGAATCAACCCCATTCCCTTCACCACCTCTGCAGCCGAAATTGGTGCACATAGCATGCCGGCAGACAGGATATGTGAATGCAACCACGTCCCACCACCCTATGGCCCACTCAGTATTGCGCAGGTAAACCAAGGGCCAAGACAAGGCCTCGGGTGCCAGCGCCTCCAACACCTCCGTCGCCTCCAACGCCTACGATGGGGCCTCCAAACAACCCCTCAGGCTCTTCCGGCTCTTCCAATTCAATCCCTTGCAGACTGGATTGGGAGAGGCCACCCCATCCGCCGCTCCTCACCACTGCCGCCCAGCACCTCACTCTTCCAGTCCCTTTCAGACTGGACCAGGAGCGCCCACATCCGCTGCTTCTCAGTGGCACCCAACGTCTACCCCCCACTCTTCGACACCGCCGACAACATTAAACACGGTGCAATTTCAAGCTTACCTCAAGAGCAATTGCTTCGAAGCAATTCCCCTCCCCCCCTGTCCCCCCTCGGCCACACTGGGCGGCCCCCATGGCTCTGCCAACTCCGCGTCCCTCACCTCCATCTCCACCGCGAACGACGGCTCCGACGATGAGCATGGCAGCAGCAAGTCCCCTGGCCCAAATGCTGCCTCCCCCGCCTCCTACACCTCCTACACCTCCGACGGCCCCAAGCTTTTTGATGGTTTCGACCACACACACCCCGAGATGACAGCCTGGCTCATGATAGTGACCTCATATCCCCCGCTCTTGATGCCTGAGACCAGCGGGATGAAGACGACGAGCACTAGTATTATCATTTGTAGATTTCATATCTTAGTTGTTCATTTTGTAGCCTACTTCGTTGTTATACAGCCTCCTGGAGGCTTATAAATAATTGTGATTTGGCTGCAAATCATTGGAGCCAGTGAGCTGGCGGGCGGGCGCTCGGACGCTCGCGTCGGAGGTGGGAGGTGCCACCGGGAGGCGGAGGCGGCATGCCACGGGACGTGCCAAGCACAGCGCGCAAAGAGGTGCGGGAGGCAGGAGGTGGAGGCAGCGTGCCATGCTCCGTGCTGAGCATGATGCGCAAACAGATGCGGGAGGCGGGAGGTGGGAGGTGCGGGAGGCGGGATGTGCCGAACACGGCACACGTTGTGGGAGGCAGGAGGCGGAGATGCCACGGGATGAGCCGAGAATGGCGCGCAAGAGTACCGAATATAGAAGCCCGTGACCTACGACCTACGGCCTACAGCGGCCTCTTAGGGGGGTTATGCTCCTACAACATAACCCCCCCTAAGAGGCCCTCATGTGACCGGTGACGGTGCTCCCTTAGGTGCTACCGGGCTTTTCTGGCTCTGGGTTGGACTTTGGTACGTAGGGGTTTTGAGAGGGTTTGGATAAAATGAAAAGGACCCCAGTGAATAGCCCGGCCCCGAGTCGAACAGGGGATCCCACAGAATGCTGGTGGAAAGCGTTAATGCTACAAGCAGTGGGTGCGGACCATCCGCCACCGGGCTTTCCTTCTTCCATTTTAAACCAGGCTACGTAGCAATTTTTGTCGAGCATCCCGGAATAAAAAGATACATCGACTACAGATTATAGCCCGACCCCGAGTCGAACGGGGACCTCCCACAGCACAGGACTGGTGGATTTCAATGAATGTGGGTGCGGACCGTCCGCCACCGGGCTTTCCTTCTTGCATTTTGAACCTTTCTACATAGGGATTTTTGAGAGGGTTTGGGAATAAAACTCGAGAAAGCGAAATTTTTATAGCCCGACCGCGAGTCGAACGGGGACCTCCTACAGAGTCCCAGTTGGAGGTGATGAAGTTGGTGCGGGCGCGGACCGTCCGCTACCGGGCTTTCGTGGCTCTAGGTTGAACCTTGTTGCATTGGGAATAAAAAAATGCAGCGATCCGAGGGGATAGCCCGGCCCCGAGTCGAACGGGGACCTCCCACAACACTGAACAGGAAGATGATGATGTTCTACTGAATGTGGGTGTGGACCGTCCGCCACTGGGCTTTCTTGGCTCTGTTTTGAACCTTGCTACGTAGGGATGTTTTTCTGCCTGCCGCGGAATAAAAAAGTCCGCATCGCAAGTAGGATAGCCCGACCCCGAGTCGAACGGGGACCTCCCACAGAGTCCCAGTAGGAGGTGATGAAGTTGGTGCGGGCGCGGACCGCTACCGGGCTTTCTTAGCTCTGTTTTGAATCTTTCTACATAGCAATTTTTTGCGATTGATTCGAAATAAAAAGATGCATTGGTTCAAGTCTAATGGATAGCCCGGCCCCGAGTCGAACGGGGACCTCCCACAGAACCTCATTACATCACAGACAACGAGTGAGTGTGGGTGCGGACCGTCCGCTACCGGGCTTTCCTTCTTGCATTTTGAACCTTGCTGTGTTGGCATTTTTCGCGCCTGCCGCGGAATAAAAGATGCATCGACTACAGATAATAACCCGACCCCGAGTCGAACGGGGATCTCCCACAACAACGGACAAGAGCACTTTACTGAATGTGGGTGCGGACCGTCCGCTACCGGGCTTTCATGGCTCTGTGTTGGACCTTTCTATGTAGGAATCTTTTCCCGAGCACCCGGGAGGAAAACAGATGCCCAAGTGCAATAGCCCGACCCCGAGTCGAACAGAGGGATCCCGCAGTATCTTGCAGCAAGCACCAATTTAAGTGGAGTGAGCACGGACCATCCGCCACCGGGCTTTCTTACTTGCTCTGTGAACCTTGCACTGTTAGAAATTCTTGGAGGATGAATTCAAAATTTAAAAAAGGTTTGAGGACACACTACATAGACAGGATGTGCAAAAGCCGCATGGGCCGCATGCGGCTTTTGGACATTGTGCAAAGCCGCACCCAAAACACAAGATTTTTGGCCTCGAGAGCTTACATCTCACTAGAATACATGTCAGACAAGCGTATATTAGACGGCCATATATTGAGGCTGTCCGGGTAAGGCACCAACAGTGCATTGAAAGAGCCAAAAATTCAGCGGCTTGAGCAATGTCATGAAAAGAACAAGTTTCCTCAGCTCTGTTTGCAGACAAATCCACAGTACTGAACATTTCAGTGTCCTAGGCATCTGATAGAACATTGGAGATGCGATGATGGTGTTTGACTCGAAAAAAAGAAAGAAAGCCGTTACGGCTTTGCACAAGAGCCAAAAGCCGCATGCGGTTCGTGCGGCTTTTGCACATCCTGTCTCATAGCCCGGCCCCAAGTCGAATGGGGGCATCCCACAATATGACGTTCAAACATCGCTGCAAAATCGAGGTGGGTGCGAACCGTCCGCCACCGGGCTTTCCTACCTCCGTTCTGAACCTTTCCACATAGGGATTTTTCGAGCTTCCCAATAAAAAGACACATACGAGCGCAAGTAGCCCGGCCCGAGTCAAACGGGGGATCCCACCGAACCTAGTCAATTTCGCGGCTAGTGTGGGCGTGGACCGTCCGCCACCGGGCTTCCCTACCTTTGTTTTGAACCCTTTCTACGTAGGGTTGTTTGTGAGCACCCAATAAAAAGAGTTGATCATACAATATAGTAGCCCGGCCCCGAATCGAACAGGGAGCTCCCACAGAACATCGTCACAAGCGAATAGCGACTGTGGGTGTGGACCGTCTGCTACGGGCTTTCTGTCCTCTGGTTTGATCCTTGGTATGCTGGAGTTTTCGTGAGCACCGCGGAAAAAAATGGCTCGAACATGTCTAGGAGCCCGGCCCCGAATCGAACGGGGACCTCCCACCGCACAGGACTGGAGAAGGTGAATGGATGTGGGTGCGGACCGTCCGCTACCGGGCTTTCCTTCTTGCATTTTGAACCTTGCTGTGTTGGCATCTTTCGTGCCTGCCGCGAAATAAAAAGATGGCAAAGGACCGAACAAGTAGCCCGACCCCGAGTCGAACGGGGGAACCCACAGAATGTTTTCTTCAGTCTCGGTTTACATGCAGTGGGTGCGGACCGTCCGCCATCGGGCTTTCTCTTCTCTGGTTTGAACCCTTGCTACGTAGGACTCTTTCTTTCTTCGAGGATGCCGAATTCAAAATTTTTAAAAAGGCTCAAACGGATGCCTGTCATAGCCCGACCCCGAGTCGAACGGACGAACTCAAAGTATGCTTGTTGAAGGCGATGTGGGCGCGGACCGTCCGCTACTGGGCTTTCTTAGCTCTGGGTTGGACTTTGGTATGTAGGGATTTTTGAGAGGGTTTGGGAATAAAAATAAAATGAAAACGACCCTAGTGAATAGCCCGGCCCCGAGTCGAACGGGGATCCCACAGAATTTAATCACAAACCATTTAGTGAGTGTGGGTGCGGTCCGTCCGCCACCGGGCTTTCATAGCTCTGGGTAGAACCTTGCTACGTAGGGATTTTTTGAGGCCGCCGCGGAATAAAAAGGGACGAAAGATCGTCTGCGTATAGCTCGACCCCGAGTCGAACGGGATCCTCCCACGGAACCAAAAGGTCATATATAAGGAGTGTGAGTGCGAACCGTCCGCTACCGGGCTTTCGTAGCTTTGTTTGAACCTTTCTACATAGGGATTTTTGAGAGGGTTTGGGAATAAAAAGAGTGTGTGATCTTTCTCGTACAACCCGACCTCGAGTCGAACGGGGGATCCCACAGAATGCTGGTTAAGAACGCGGGAAAGTGGTGTGGGTGCAGACCATCCGCCACCGGGCTTTCAAATCTCTCCTCTGATCCTTGTCGACTTGGTTGACTGAGAGCCGTACCGACGATTAAATGAGCCCGGCTAATCTGAATACTGGAGGACCGCGACTGGTGTCAGATAAAAAGCAAAAGTTGGGATGAGAGGCACCGGAATAATTCTTGGATGGCCTCGAACGGCAGCCACTTTGGTTGAAACTTGAGCCGCTCCGAAATACTTACCCGGTCCTGTCCAACATGCGTAGGCCGCGAAGCCTAAGAGGATTGATTGGCGGTGCGGCAGCCCCGGCACCCATTTTGCCAGATCTTCGGCTTGCAATCTGCGCCATCATCTATCACTGCATCCTCTGCCCATTGCAGTGGGCGCGTTGCTCTACACCACCATGTCTCTTTACTTCACGGGCCATACTGTCGTCGTCACTCGAAGCCATCGTGAAAGCTGCTCTTGAAAAGTTCGGAGATGTTCATATACTCGTTGCGAACGCGGGCATTCTGCGGGACAAATCGTTCCAAGCCATGACGGAGCTGGAGTGGGATATCGTTCTTGCCATCCTCCTTCGGTCCGTGTTCATCTGTGATGAGCTCAACCATATGGTACGCGAATTAGCAACGTCATCTGCTACTGACTCAACCACGCAACTCAGGTCGCAGGAGATGGTCGACGCGCTTAAGGTATCTATCTACGCTGCTCAATCGTGGCTTCGTCAACTAGACTTTCGTTAGCCAGATTACATTGCACTGTTAGTCGGGTATCTGAGTAGTGCAGGTAAGGACGGCGCAGCATCCTAATGGGTCCGATATTAAATCTCGCATAGAAAACGAAGACACAACTGGCGCCTTGTTTAAAGTCCTCGGGGGTTGGGCTGCCCAGACCCGGTGGCAGCCTTCCGGAAGTTACAGCTTCCCAGAAAAGGTGCCGTTCACGCCCGAAGACGTCGTTTCGAAGTGGGCAAGCATCACGGACTTCAGTGAGTTCTCTCAGGGTGTTTATACCTTGATCTCTAATCGATCATTCTCAGCTGACGGACGTGCTACGAACCCTCCACGAGATCGGAGTCGCTTGAGCAGTGAAGAAGGAATAAGTGGTCCTCACGGGGACCGAGAAGTGTCCAGGTCATGCCAGTGACAGCGCCGAGTCGTGCAGCAGAATGTGAATGCCAGCTGGGAAATAATCAACGCAGCTGTAGATTGAAAAGAAAGGAGAATGAAATAGAAAACTTAGCTCAGAGTGATCAAACGGGGGTGGATTCGCACGGAGTTGCTCAGAATCGTGTGGATTGAGGTGGCGGTCAAAAGACAAAAGGAAAAGTAACGTAATCTCCGTCCCGTGCAAATAGATATAAACCGATGTATGTAAGAGAGTCCGTTAGAAAGCCTCAGCTAAAATCAAACCTTCGCCCAACGAGTCATCCGGGAGGTACGCAAATACGTATAGGGAGATAAATGCTGCCCCGCTCAGCACTGAAGATGGGTGCCCAGTCCACTTCAAATCGATCCCCGGCGTAGTCCGAGATGCCCGAGGACTTGGTTCGACTCTTCGCGTTGGCGGTACGTAGTGCGAAACAAATAGTGTCTGTGTAAGATATGAGAGGGGTGACCACGGGAATGTAAAGTCTGTAAACACAATAATAAAATATTTCCTTGGTAAATGAAGACTTGTCCTTCCAGTGTCGGATGAGTTGATTCATAAGCAAAATGCGTAAACTTGTGGTCAAGGAACTAGGAAATGAATTGTGATGGAATATTTGGTCAGATGGCCTAGCTGGCTCGGGAGTCGAAGGCGGCGTGCAAGGCAGGTCGCGCTTCCACAGCAGGTTATTTTTGCATGATTTTCTTTGCTCGT